AAAATATTGTAGTTATCCTTCCAGAAGATCCTTGAATAAATTTCAAACAATGATGTCGTAAGGAGGGTTTCATATATTTTAACGACTAAAATGAGTCTCAGAATGGAAGCAGCAGTTCTGAGTTTCTAACTGCTTTCTTTGTCAAGACATCTTGGGAAAGCGTATAAAACTTTCAAGCCACGCATTTGGGATTAAATCCACATCTGGTCATTTATAGGTAGACTCCTGTCTATGGCTTTGGAAATTCTTAGATTGCAGACAGAGAATAAAACCACACATTGTTCTTTCCTGTCTGTCCTCAACTGGATTGAAGTTTCTTAGCTAAGAGGGCAGATTCTGCCATATTTCACTTTTTCTGGCTCTGTGGTCTGATTTCCAAGGTCATAGTTGGAATGAAAAGGAAAAAGAGAGAAAAGTGGTAGAGTACCCTCCCTACAGGTGAGACTTACTCATATGACCAGTCTCTAACTATGCACCAGCTTTACCCAAAAGATTGAGGATCATGTAAGCCAGCAGTTAGCAGCAAGTGACCATGGATAGCAAAATAGTTAAAAAGCCTAGAAGGGCTTCCACTTCATATATATAGATTTTCCCCCCACATCTCAAAGCTGTTGGAAATTATTATCTGGGAAGATGAGGCCTCTTAAGGTTGAAAGGTAGCAGCGGAGCCCTGATTTACTTACTGTCACTCTCCTGTGTTAAAAGTGGCACTCCAGAGGCCTGATAGACCCTTATTGTTCCAAAACTTAAAGTTAGGGAGAGGCTTATTCGTTGAGAGACTCAGGCTCTGTGTGTTTCAGACAATGCTGATTCATCTTAGTTTTGTGATTCAATATTATGTCTGGAAAATAGTAGCTGTAAAATTTATTTTGTTTTGCAGGCAGTTTCCTTGTCCTCCAAACTCACCAAAGGCTGTATGCACTGTTCTTGAAATTGAATGTGCTCATGGTGCTGTTTTTGTGGCTGGTAAAACATTTAGTCTAGAATATATGACACTGTGAACTTACTCTCCTTTCTGAAAAACTCAACTGACTCCTCTTCTGTTTTATTCTTATTATTGTTATTAGGTTCTGATTAATTTACTCTTTAGAGAAATAGAACTAATAGCCAAACTTATTTTAGGTTCTGTAAGCATCCTTAAGGATCACTCAGGAGATTTGTTAATTAAAATGTCATGCCAAAGGGAAATGATACTTCCCAGGTTTTAATAGTTTTCATCAGAGATAGCCATGTAGAAATATGGGTAGATGCAGAGACTCAAAACTGGTCAGGAGAAAGATAGCTGCACAGATGATATTTTATAACATAAAAGCAAACTTGAAAAAATAAATTATCTCCAAAATGACTAAACACTTGGCTTCTACCTGAAAAAAAAAAAGTTGCATTGACTTTCCCAAGAGGCAATCTAGCAGACAGTTTTTGTTTTGAAAGTTACAGCTGTTTTATACAGTAATAACTGAAATGAAATTGTTCTTTAGCCTTGACTATAATATCCTGCCTGAGGGCAATGAAAGCTACCTTCCTTAGTCTAGTTTTATTCATAAAGCAGTAAGTCATATTCTTTTAGGGTTTTTTGTTTTGGGGGGTTTTTTTACTTAAAAAAACTTCAAAATTTCCTGTATTTGGATTCTTTGGAATACGTTATCACCAATAGCTATGATATTGAAAGTATTTTTAATCAGGTGTAACAGCAATAGTTTTTCTTGATCCTTGGTGCATTCTGTTATATTATATAACTTAGGCAATCAGATTAATAAATATATTGAGTATTTCTTCCAAATTCATTTGATGCACCATTCATATCATGTCTTTAGCCATCTATTCTATTGTTACCTAAGATCTTTTTATTTCATTTTCTACATGTCTATGTGTGGGCTCCCCAAATTATATTGTAAGTCAGTTAAAAGCTAGGCCTTGTTTTATATCATAGCACCTCTGATACTGGCACTCCTTAAATAGTTGTTGCTCCTCTTTTTATCCTATTATGTTAATCACACCATTCCATCCAGGCCACCTGATATTTCTTTGACAGGGAGATATAATAAATACTCCAGAAATCTACCACAAACTCCTTGGATAATTGATGGAGAAAGGAAGCTGGAATCTTCAGTGGAAGAATTGATTTCAGATCATCTGTTGACAGTATTCAAAGCAGAGAGTAAGTTTTAAATTTTCTTTTTTTTTTTTTTTTTTTTTAGAGAGAGAGTCTTGTTCTGTGGCCTGGGTTATAGTGCAGTAGCGTCATAGCTCACTGCAACGTCAAATTCCTGGGATCAAGCTATCTTCCTGCCTCAGCCTCCCAAATAGCTGGGACTAAAGGTGTGCGTCACCACAACCTGCTAATTTTTTTTCTATTTTTAATAGAGATGGGGTCTCGCTCTTGCTCAGGCTGGTCTCAAACTCCTCACCTCAAGCAATCCTCCTGCTTTGGCCTCCCAGAGTGCTAGGATTACAGGCATGAGCCACTGCACCCAACCTATAATTTTCATATTTTAAATACATTGTCTATCATTAATAGATTTCTTGGGGGTGGCAAGAAAGATTTCTATATTTTGATAATCACTGCCAACTCTGGGCCCCTTGGCTGTAGGCTTCTAGGAACAGGGATCATCATCATATCCTGAGTGCCTCTGGCCTGGCTGGATTTCAGCCAAGGCACCCGAAAATGTCTTTCTTTCCTCTCTCAAGATGACTGACCTCTTTTGGGAAAATTCAAAACAGTTGTGAAATTATTTTAAATGAATGCACTTAAGCCCTGACCTTGGCACATCTCAGCCTCAGCCTCTTTGGGGGAATATGAGAAAATTAAAACACATCTTCCACATCTAGCTCTTGTTCAAGAGTAATCACTTACAAATGTCTGCTTCTGTCTTAACCTCTAAAATGTCCTGGGATAAAGTTCAGGCCTAGAGAAAATATTAATAGATCAACGGCAACCATTTTATTACAGAGCGACTTAATGGCAGCCGTATTGTGTTTTGATTTCCTCGGTATTAATGAGCTGAGTTTGTGGGATGAGTCAGGTCCCGTCAGGCTTATGTGTCCCTTGTCTCAACAGGCCTGTCAAGTCAAAGGCAGCGTAAAGTCTGGTGATTTCACGTAGGATTAGACAAGAGGAAAGGGACTCAGATTTCAATTACAGGAAATTTTGTTACATGTCAGGAAAAAGTGCAAGCAGTAGGTAATGTCACTCTTTGCAACGCGGCTCCTAGCATAATTAGAAAATGCTTTTTTGAGGAACCAGCTAGATATCCATCCTTCTCTCTAAAAAACCTTAAGACAAATGTGCTTTAAGAATGACAAGCGGATGGTCTAGGTGAGATATGGCTGTCCCTTCCAGCTCTCTGACTTGCCAGAGGGAAAGAGAAGCATTTCAGACTCCATCCCTTTTATAATTTGTTGCCTATGAGGTAGGTGCACCCTTTTTTAATGGTCTTTAAGAATTGTTTACTAAATGAAGAAGTAATTCAGCAACCTAATATTTTCCAAAATCTTTGTAGTAAAGACTCTGGGCTATTATCATGAGCATTTACCTACTTAATTTGGTATTTATAAACTGATTATCTTGTAAGACATATGCAAGTTATGAAGAAGTGAAATAAAGTGTTAGCACAAAAAATTCCTTTTACATTTTTCTTGGAGCCACCTTACTCCCTTTCTATAAGAAGATTCAAGAAACCTTCAGTTCTAACTGTTCTAGTCCCAAGGAAGCCCCTGTTGCCTCTAGGGCTACTAGAGGGGCTCTTTCAGAGATGTGTTTTCCCCCCTTGCAGTCTTTCATGAAGGTGGTTTGTTGTCATTTTTCCATTCAAGGTGGAAAAATTGTCCCCAAACTGAAAACAAAGCAAATTTTGTGTTCAGCATCTGAAATGTGTGCTGGAGTAATTTACTGAGAGCCACTTGAGAAAAAGCACACCTTGGGGCCCCAGTGCTAACTAGCTCCTTGTCGGGGGGTAAAACCTTGTTGTTTGAAACCCCCAATTAATAGCATCAATTTGCTTAAAGCTCTGCTTCTCAGATATGTTACTTGTTATTTTTGATTAATGATTCACATCTGACAACTCTGGGATGTTGGTTCTAAATATTGCACCCTTAAATTTTATAGCACTGTGAAATAAACCAGTATTACATGGAGCAGCCTAGCTACTTATATAAACATTCCTTCCCCTAAGTGGGATATAGAGACTTGTTTCCCAGCCACTTCAAACTGGCACATCATATGATCTACTTGCTAATTCCATAAATAAGTAATACATTTTGATACATTCTTAAAAATCAATGTGTCTAAAAAAATTTCCCCTAATACATTTATTACTTCACTTATTGAATAAATGTTTGTCATGTCAGTTCCCTGCTGAAAACTGGTCAATCACTAGCTACAGGATAAAGTCCAACTACTTAACTTGATATTCTGGGATTCTGGGCCTTCCTAGGGTCCAAGGAAATTTCCTTAGTTCTCAAGTTTGAAACATTTTTCTAAAAGATATGATAAATACCCCTTTTCCCTTAGTCTGGATTTTGTGCTTCTGTGGCCTTCTTGAGAGCCTGGCTTTCTGCATCTCTTTCTTACTGACAGGTTGATTTATGAATTTAAGATTTCTGTTCTGACTTAGCAGTAGCTGGTAGACTTATCTCTTTGAGGCCTCTTCATCCCCTTCACCCCTGCCAGTCACAGGTTCTGGCTTAGTCACTGTGGAGCCCTCTGGTTCTATGACATGGCTGATTGGGAGATGGAGGGTGGCAGGTATAAGACAAACTATAGACCCAGGGAGTCTGTATCTTCAGCTTCCCAGGTGCCATTTGCATTCTTGATTTAGCTATGGCCATCCATCCTTAGTGCTACACCTTGAGTCTGTTAGTTCCGACTACTCAAAGCTACTGATATTGCTATGGGTTTATTAGTAATTTTTTTGTTTTTTTTTTTGAGACAGAGTCTCACTGTGTTGCCTGGGCTAGAGTGCCGTGGCGTCAGCCTAGCTCACAGCAACCTCAAACTCCTGGGCTCAAGCGATCCTCCTGCCTCAGCCTCCCGAGTAGCTGGGACTACAGGCATGTGCCACCATGCCCGGCTAATTTTTTTCTATATATTTTTAGTTGTCTGATTAATTTCTTTCTATTTTTAGTAGAGACGGGGTCTCGCTCTTGCTCAGGCTGGTTTCAAACTCCTGAGCTCACACAATCTGCCCGCCTCGGCCTCCCAGACTGCTAGGATTACAGGCGTGAGCCACGGCGCCCGGCCGGTTTATTAGTAATTTAACACTGGAGTATAAACACGGAATGGAGGGTTCTGTGGGACTTAGTGGTCACAGAATCCTCCTCCCTGCCTGGCTGCTCTAGTTCTGTATCTAAGAAAATTGTGTAACCTTTTTTTTTTTAATTTAATCATTTTCTCCTTCCAATATATGCAGCTTTTAGTCTGTGATGATCCATTTATCTTAGAGTGTACACTGATTTTATAATGGTTCCAGTTTAGGTTTGATTATACATATAATGAATTTGCATTTTAAAGTCAAACCTTCTTTTTCTCCTCTTCTTTTTATAGAATTTAATTCTTAAATAAATGTTTTTCTTTGTTTTAAAGAAAGAAAGAAAGATGATAAAGTTTTCACCATAAGGTTGTGATGATGATGGTGGGACCTTCCTCCAAACAGTGCTCTGCCTTTGGCTTTCCCATGGGGTGGTGACATAGGATGATAGTTAAGGTCTGACTTTAACATCAGAAACACCTAGCTCTGCCATTTAATTATGTGACCTTGGAAAAATTACCTATCTTTCTCAAGGTTGATGTTCTTTTATTTAACACTTACTTCATACACTTATAATAAGGATTAAATAAAATAATGTATGCATAATTTTTAGCCCAGTGCCTAGCATAAAATAAGTGTTCAATAAATGGTGTTTATTGTTACCATTACTATTTTTAGTAGAAATTAGGATTAGAGGAAGAATGATGACTGTCCCTTGGGATTCTCTTGCAGATTGTTCAAGATCTTAAATTGGTTTTCTTCCAAAGGTTAGGAACAAATATCCTAGGGCTATTACATTTCTGATTTTTTTTCTTTATCTGCTTTCCAAAGGTTTTAATTTTTCATCCTCTGGAAGAGAAGATGTAGATGTGAGAACCTTAGGAAATGGTAAGATTGCAACAGCATCACCTGATTAGAACTAACTTTACAATTATCACCCTTTCCAGCCAGCAGGCTTACTGTAGTCACTTAATCAAAACCAAAATGAGCAGAGCCCAGAGCTTCTCCAAGTTAGGAAACTTTGTGGATTGTGGAGCTACCTTTATAAATTATATGCTATATGTCTTAACAGGAATCATTTCTTCAAAGGCCATTCTTATTATATACCTGTAGATTATAAGGGACTTTGATGTGCATTAACAATGAAAGGCCTGATTTTTTTTCCAAAATTTTGATTATTAATTGTTCCATTTAATAACATTTCAGAAGTACTGTTACAATTTTCAAAATCTACACCTTCATTTAAAAAGTGATTCTATTCTCTTAGCCTTCATTTCTGTCATTTTACCTTGTTGTACTATAAGATGATGAGAGTTAATCCTAAGTTACTTGAGATTTATATTCTTTTCTCTCATGGAATCACAGCTTTTCCGTTTCACTAGTGGATTAGGCAGGGAGGATGGATTTCAGCAGGACATTGCTGCATGCTACTATGTTACATTAGTGTAACCAAGTTAATTAGCAGTTGTTTGAATTTTATTTTGTGATTAACACAGGCTTGTTCATGGACCTTTGGGGAAGCAGTCATTTTCACATATTGCCTGTGCTGGGGTTTAGCAGCCCCCACCCCCAAAAAGCCCCTTGATTCTTTTCACACATTCTTCCCTCCCCAGATGTAGTCATGTCACTAAACTTTCAGTCCTCTAGAGCTCAACTCGTTTTTCACACCTCCTAACCCTCTTGCATTAGCCCAAATGTTAACTCCATCAACACGTTTCTGTTTCATGACGGGGTGTGTGCTGCCAGGAAGGCCCTTTGCAATTGAGCTGGTGAATCCTCATAGAGTACATTTCACTTCACAAGAAATTAAGGAACTTCAGCAGGTAAACCACTTCATGACATGGAAATCGTCATGTTTCTGCAACTCTCTAACCGAGCTAGAGTGCTAATTGTTTTTCTTTTTCTGCTACTACAGAAAATTAATAAGTCATCTAACAAAATCCAAGTACGTGACTTGCAGCTTGTCACAAGGTAAGGGTAGGCTTCCTGGAGATGATTTCAGAAAGGAATTTTTAGTTGCAGATCATATATCTAATAAGGGAATTGCATCCAGCATATATAAAGAACTCTAACAACCCAATTAAAAATGAGGAAATGATTAAGTAGACATTCTCTGAGGAAGATATACGAATAACCAATGAACACATGACAAAATGTTCAACATCATTAGTCATTAGGGAAATGCAGATCAAAACCACAATGAGATCCCACTTCACACCCACTAGGATGGTTATTATCAAAAAGACAGAAAATAACAAGTGTTGGTGAGAATGTGGAGATAATTCGAACCCTCATACCTTGCTGGTGGGATTGTAAGTGCGACCACTTTGGAAAAGTTTGGCAGTTTCTCTAAAGGTTAAACATAAAGTTACCATATGACCCAGCAATTCCACTTTAGATATTATATATGCAAGAGAAATGAAAACATACATCCACACAGGGACTTGTACAAGAATGTTCATAGTAGCATTATTCATAATAGCGAAGAAGTAGAAACTACCAAAATGTCTGTGGATAAACAAAATGTGGTATTTCCACATAATGGAATATTATTAGGTTATTACATATGAAATGTCTGATTTCCTTAAGTACTAAGTTTGACAGTTGATATCTCTGACATTTCACTTTGACACTTCTTGTTTTATTTTTATTGTGAAGGTACATCCTCAGTCTTTCAAACACACATTTTGACTTGTGATTATCTTTCACATTTTTTTTAGAGCAATTTTTGTGAAACCATGGATAAGTCAAAATTTCGTGTTATTTTCGAATATGAGTTCCATCGTGGAACCAATGCAATGCAGACAGCTAGAAATATCAACAAAGTGCTTGGGAAGGGTGTGGCTAATGAGCGCACAGTACATCTGCTTTGAAAAGTTCCATTCTGATGATTTTAATCTTGAAAATGAACCACGTAGGTGACCTGAGACCAAAGTGGATAATGATGAGCTGAAAACTATAGTGGAAGTGAATCCATCTTAACCTACGCATGAAGTAGCAAAAAGGTTTGATGTTACTATTCCAACAATATGGTACCACTTGAAACAAATTGGCAAGGTAAAGAAGCTGGATTGATGGGTTCCACGTGAATTAAATGAGCGTCAAAAGAGAAATCCTCTCAAAGCTTGCCTTTCTTTGCTGTCACGACATAAAGGCAAACCATTTCTACATTATATTGTTACATGTGATGAAAAATCGATTATTTTTGACAATCGTTAAGCATTCAGCATAATGGTTGGGTAACGATGAAGTGCCAAAACACAGTCCAAAACTGAATATTCATCAAAAAAAGCTAATGGTGTCTTTGGTGGTCCAGTGCTGGTATTATCCACTACAGCTTCATGAAACCTGGTCAATTAACTACAGCAGATGTCGACTGCAACCAAGTGGATGAAATGATGAGGATGCTTGCAGCTGAGAGTGGTCAATAGAGATAACGCTTGACCACATGTTGCACAAACAATGCTGCTCAGACTACAGCAGCTGGACTTGGAAACTCTCTGTTGTCCAGTGTATTCACCAGACCTTGCATCAACTGACTACCACTTCTTCCAGGCTTTGGACCACTTCTTGCAACAAAAAATATTCAATCCTCAACAAGCTGTGGAAAACGCCATTTGTGATTTCTTCACCATCTCGCTCTCTAGGCTTCTCTGCTGCTGGTATAAACAAGCTACAGTTAAGATGGCAAAACTGGGCCAGGCGCAGTGGCTCATGCCTGTAATCCTAGCACTCTTGGGGCTGAGGTGCGAGGATTGCTTGAGGTCAGGAGTTCGAGACCAGCCTGAGCAAGAGTGAAACCCCATCTCTACTAAAAATAGAAAAAATTAGCCAGGTGTGGTGGCGTGCACCTGTAGTCCCAGCTACTTGGGAGGCTGAGCCAGGAGGATCGCTTGAGCCCAGGAGTTTGAGGTTGCTGTGAGCTGGGCTGACACACTCTAGCCAGGGCAACAGAGTGAGACTTTGCCTCAAAAAAATAAGATGGCAAAACTGTGTCGACAGTTTAAGCTCATACTTTGTTTGAAATATAATAAACTCAACTTTTGATTCAAAATCAGACATTTCATATTTAATGATCTTATATTTGGTAATAAAAAGGAATGAAGAACTGATATATGCTGCAACACGGATGAACCTTGAAAACATTATGAAATAAAAAGGGAGTTAGTCACAAAATACCACATACTGTATGATTCTGTTTATAGGAAATGTTCAGAATAGGGAAATCTATAGAGACAGAAAGTCAATTAATGGTTGTCCAGGGCTAGGGGGAAAAGGGGAGTGGGAAGTGATGCTAATGGGTATGAAGGTTTTTGGGGGGATGATAAGAGTATTATAAAATTAGATTGTGGTGATAGCTGCACAACTCTGAAAACATACTAAAAATCATTGAATTGGACAGTTAAAATGGGGGAATTTTATATAAATTATATCTCATTAAAGCTATTTTTACAAAAAGGGAAACTTGGGGCAATTTGTGTGTATTTTACATATTCAGACAAACCTTTTTTATTGTTTTTGTTTAGAGAGGCAATAGGACATATGAAAGAAGGTGAAGAAGAAAAGACCAAGACCTATAGTGCCTTAATATGGACAAATAAAGCAATACAGAAGAAAGACATTGAATTCCTAAATGATATAAAGGTAATTCAAGTGCTCTTATTCTTTTTTATTTTATTTTTCTATTGCCTATAAAAGAATCCATCGTCATCTAGTTTATTACCCTCAAGTTACAGAGCATGGGCTTTGGAGTCTGTGAGACCTGGTTTCACATCCTGGCTTTGCCGTTTACTAGTTGAATGGGCAACCCCTCTAGCCTGTTGGAGAGGCAGTATTAGCGATGAAGAGCCCGACTCTGAAGACAGATTGCCTGAGTTCAAATGCTAAATCTGCATTTCTTGGCTGTGTGTCTTTGGATAAATTACTTAGCCTCTTTGTGCTTCAATTTCTTCATCTATAAAATTAGTTAAAAGAATTAAATGAGTTTAATCATATAAAGCACTGAGAATGGTACCTGGCACATAGAAAACACTCAGCAATGCTATTGTAATATTTGGTTATCTGTAAAAAATAAATATAAGATAGGGCTTATCTAATAGAATTGATGTTGAGATTAAGTACGTGAATAAAATGTAATAATATATCTAAAGCATGTACATTTGGCACATGCTAAGTTTTCCTTCACATGAGCATGTCACTGTAGAGGGTCTGCCTGTTTGTTTGCTTATTTCTTCCCGCCTGTGCCCACCTCTTCTTGTAAAGAGAATTTACTTTCAAATGCAAGGAATGAGCATAAATGAGCACAAAGGTGCATACAGTTACCACAACATTGTTTAAATTGGCAATATTTTGCAACAATCTAGATGACCTACTAGAAGGAACTGGTTTAATATTATGGCTTATCTGTATAATGGACTATTACTATCCAACTATTAAAAATTATGTGGTAGATTAATATTTTTGGCATAGGAAAATGTTTCTGATAAGTGCTAAGGTGGACAAAAAGCAAGGTATAGAGTATATAGAGGATGATATGTTGTACTTTAAGCACACGTTATGTATGTATATATGTGTATATATATACATATAGGTGATTATGTAGAAAACAAATTCTATGACAAAATATACCATAAATAGGGTACATACTTATCATGAAAAATAAAGACACTGAATAGATAAAAATGAACAGGCAGCTGAAAAATGAGCAACTACAAATGGCCAAGAATCATTTGAAAAGACGTTCCACCTCCAGGTTGAAGTAAAAAGACACCACTTTATTCCCCTTAGACTAATAATACCTCTCATTGGGTTGGGGTGGAGGAGAAAGATAGTTGCATACATTGTCAGTAGAAATGCAAAATGTTTCAACCTTTTTGGAAAATGTGGCAATGACTATAAAATTTTAAAACATACTGGTCTTCTATTGACAGTCTGTCCTATAGAAATAAAACTCCAGTCATAAGGATATGTACACAGTGATGTTTATTGACTTTGTTCAAAGCAGTAAAATCAACATCAAAAAATCTAGAAACAAAAGCAATGTCCTTCAGTAAGAAAATGGTAGAATAAATTGGAATATTATACAGCTCTTAAAAAACCAAAACCAGCATATGATCCTATTTAATTCATATATTAGTTTGTATATATATGCCTAAAAATATTAGGAAAAAAGTAGAGGGGTGTCTACATCTGTGACTTGTAGGAGCACCATGACATTATGAAAAAAAAAAAGTGAAGTGCAAATAATGTTTATGAGTATTTTAGTGAAAACATAAAAGTCATTCACCTGCTTAGAGAAGATCATCTATAAAATGTGGGGATGGACTTCACCTCCAGTGGCCCTTCAGTTCTCAGCTTCTATGATTCTATATCTAAGGTCCTTTGGCTTTTCGCCCTACTATGTAGGGGCCTTTAGGATGATAGCTATAATGTAGACAGATATCTTTAACACATTGACTACCACACTAGAAAAATAATTTTTTTACTTGGAGCCACCATGTTTTATTACAAAAATAGAATAAAAACTTCGAAAACAAAACAATCCTTTCTAATTTAATGAAAAATGTGTTATTTTTTATTGTTTTCTGTGTGTAAGTTGTATGCAACTTGAAAAACAGTTCACATGGCTCCCAAGATAAAGAGTCATGTGAGTTACATATGCTTCCTGAGGCCCTGGGCTCAAAACTAGCGTGAGTTAAATACAACTCACATCGGCAGTTAATGTGTTAAGACTGCAAAACAAATTTCTAAACTTCTCTATTCCCTTACGTGTGTACAAGTCATTCAGAATGCTGTGGGAAAAATAAACTCATTAAAAAAATAGATTTACAGTTTGAGGATATCCATAAAACTAATTGAGAAATAATGCTGAAACATGATTTTTATAGGTACAGACTAAGTGGTGAAAGGGTCTATTTTAACGGTCCACAGCCCAAGTAGACTGACACAACTAGCTGATTTCTAATAATGTTTTGACAGTTTTCAAATATTCCTATTGCCATAAAGAATAGAAAAACTGACCTACTTCCCCATTCTGAGAAAAAGTCACTTCAAATTTACTACTTGTCCTCACTTTTTAAAGAGCAACCCACTTCTAAGAAAAAAAAAGTATATATGTTTCTGAAAATTCAGCAGTCTAAGGACAGCAGAGTGCAATGTTAGAATAAATGGTTTCCTTTTGTTGGTTAAAAACAGACCAAAAAAGACACAAGTGTGTGTTGACGTGAGTGTTATGTTGGCAGCAGTACAGCAGCTCAGTTGGTATTTCCATCAACTGGCTCATGGTCAGAGTACTAGGAGTGGCTCTAGAGGTAAAGGACGGTGAGGCGAGAAGAGCACTCTTAGATAGATTCACTTCAAGACCAACTGTTTCTGCACCCTAAAGTGAAGACCATGTCTTTGTAGATTCCTTAAGAGTTCAGCCTTGTCATTGACTTTTTGGTCTTTTTGACCAGAAAAAATCAGATCTTATGGAGACAACTTATTTCATGACAACAAAATGCTTCTAAAATCAAAGAATAATAGAACCATAAAAAACCACAGAGATAGGAGGGGCCATTGAGTCACTGCTCTGACAAAAGCAGTCACACCCTTTCAAATGTGGTCTTTGTCAGAACTTGCTCTTTCTTTCTTGGTGGAGAACTTGATAGAAGGGAGACCAGACAGAAACCTTTCCTTTTCTTAGCAGAGCTTCAGGCACTCACTAATCATGTAAATTAGGAAGAGTTGTTCCAACAAGAAATTGCAGAGAATTCAGTTCTTATGAACCTACATTTCTCGTTAAGCCCAATATCTATTTTTAAAACTTAGAATTAGTTGACCTTTTACAGTATTAACCTCTATTTTTCTTTAAAATTTGTATCTTGGGACATAAAGGAAAATCTCTAATTTGAACTACTTATGAAAAAAACAAGTCTGTGTCCCTAAAAAATCTGAAATGTAAAAAGACATATAGTATTCTTATTCACAAGCTGAGCTAACATATATTGAGAGGTCTTGGTTTATTGTGCACAGTTATTTGTAATTATTATATTGAAATGTCACCCTAAACAATGATATAACTTTTCCAGATGTATCCTTTTGTATAACTAAAAAAAAAAAAAAGTCCCCGGAGAGTGGGTATATGGTTCTCCCTAAAATATGCAAACTGCCCATACAGACAAGTCATGCTGATGTTCCACATTCTATAACCAGATATTTGTCACCTCAGCCTGAAATCCTCACTGTTAGGCTACTACGTTGAGTTAGAAAACAAAGGTTAGAACATTGACCTCTAGAAGAGCCCTGTTGAAGTAACTGGCAGGATGGAACTGCAGGGTTCTAACCAATTTGTTACATATTAGACCAAAAGAGACTTTGAGGATCATTGACTTCAAGGCCCTTTTTTAATGGTGAGCTTACTGGAGCCCAGAGAATGAGTAATTATGGACTAGGTCATGAGAAGTCCCACAGACTTTGAACCTAAGAGGATATAATTTATTATAATATTAGGTAGTTTCTACCCTGACAGTGATAGCTGGAGTCCTTTAAAGAAGACTTCTGTGGTGAGCTATGGATGACAAAGTGCTAAGTCAGGCTTCACTGGGTGGCGGAGCTCTAACTCTGTGGTTGTATATCATAATCTCTAGGACTTAAAGATTGACCAGAAAACTCCTCTACGAGTCCTTCACCGAAGGCCCTTGGCTGTGAGAACTCGTGTCATTCACTTCATGGAGACACACTATGTGGATGCGCATCATTTTCGCCTCTATCTGAAAACTCAAGCTGGAACGTATCCTTCCACCTTCTGCATTGCAATAATCTAACCAGAACCCTATTAGAAGAGTTAATGCTGCCCTAGAAAAATAGGTTCAACTTGGTCTGGGAGGTAATAGGGAAAGGATTATATTGGAGAAGTATGCTTTTTTAAAGAAATTTGTTTGAGGTGTTTTTTCTCATTAAATCTGTGTTTTTCAAAATGACATTTTAAACCCTGGGGTGGCAGTTCCATGTCGGCTTTAAAGTTATTTATGTTTCATGTAATTACATTGTCTTACACAGTGCTTAGCACACAGTAAATACTCAGAAAATACTTTTGATTGATTCATTTGCTGCCTTCACATTTTTTGCAAGTCACATATTCATTACCATATCTAGGTCCTTTCAACATTTCAAGCATTTGCCCCAGATGAGACACAGGTGGGAATGGCGCTACTTTACATCTTGATCTTAACTTTACTTGGCCACTGGCCCAGTACAACAGAGAATATTCTTTCTCTGTATGCCTGGTGAAAAAAATAAAACATTTCAGATTACATATCATTTGTTTGAGCCATATGAACTTGGTTGACAGTAATACTGTGCGGGTATCAGCACCATTTCCAAAGACTGCAAAGGGTTTTGACTGTGTTATAAGCAGAAAGGCTGAGATGAGAGTTAAAAATATCCATAGTCTGAGGCTCATAATTTGTTTATAACCTAACCTGATTTGTGTGGTTTTGGTAAGTTTGATGTAAATACAAGTCCCAGGTCATGTATAGTTTTGTATCAGAATTGAGTTGCTGATTAAAATATAGCCGGGAGCTCCAGTAGTCTTCGCTTTAGTTGACTTTTCAAAGGTGTTCTTAGTTTTTGTTTCTTAGTTTTGTATTATTTTGTGATCCAATAGCGTGAAGTGATAACATGCTTTCTAACTGGTATAAAACTAATGATGTGTTTATGTATATAAGAAAAAAAAAACAAGTTTTAAGCACTAAATACCATTATTACTACATTGCTATAACTAATCTGCCTGTCCTTCCCCACCAACCTGCTTTCCCCTCTTCCTCCTCTGCCCCATCCCAGGAGTGACCTGGATTTACTCAGCTGAATCAGGTATAGGTTGTCCACTCCTAAAAACTTCTAAATTTTGCAATTTGAATCAAAGAATGATCTATTTAGATTCCAGTGGACAAATCTTTGTATCTTTGTTGTTTGGGGCACATTTGCCTACTGTGGGTGGAATTTCAAAGCAATCACAGATTTTTAAAAAATATTTTTATCCATTATAATTCTGGCTCCAGTTTTGGTGTGCCAAGGAGAAATGCAATCTCTTCTGGAGAAGCTAATGTCTTTTCAATCCTACTAAAACATTTTTAGAACCATCCATGTACATTTACTTAAGGTGTTAGCCAATAAAGACTGGTAAAGCTTTAGATATATGTTTATACACAGAAGTATATGTAATTTTCACACACTAAGTTTATTTTGTATACACGCTATGTATTTATATTGTTCTGTACACTGAGCTAGCTCATTTGACTTAAACCTTGTCCCTCTGGCCATGAATAAGAACCTCTCTGGACCTTTTAATTGGTTATTCTGGGGCTTTTTGGTCATCTCCCCTCATCATTGCTACTCAGGGGGAGCATTCTCTAAGAAAATGAGGGAAAAAGAATGACAATGTGTGAGTTTAGCAAAAAAGATAGTCACTAGATAATTGCATGTCTTATGTTTGAGTCAAAATGTTTGGTGAAGGTAGAATGAACAAACATTCAGAAAGTGAGGACATAATTAATATCAGCCTATTATAGTGTTGATTTTTTATTTATCATCTGGGAATAAATTTTTTCTATTTAAATTGTATTAAATATTTTATATGAAATGGTTTATAGATAACACAACATAATGCCGAATGCTGGCAAAAACATATCTTTTAGATAACTATTGTCAAGGTTGCAATAGAGTCCTGTGTAAGGAATGTTAATATAATCTTATTAAGAACAAATTCCAAAATTATTCATTGACTCCAAAATTTGAAGACCTATGAGGGAGATACAAAGTTGCCCCTTAAAAAAAGAGAGAGAGTATTAACTTAATTCTCTTGCTAACCACATTAGCAAACTAGAACACAGGTCTTTTGATAATCCTTCTGAAGGGCCTTCATTAAGACTAAATTAATATTCTCATTGTTCTTTCCATCCTTTTGCTGCTGGGTCATGTTATAGGGAAAGCCATCATTGAGGTCACTCTGTGTGTCGTCCTGTGGAAACCTACTATCTGGCAGATGCCAGTTACCATTATTGAAAAATGGGACCAGAAAGATGATAAAATGGAAATTTTGGCAAAAAAGAAATAGTTGTTTTTTTAAAGCATTAAACTATAGGCAATTTTAAAAATCCATACCCAAATCTTGGCACTTGTAGATAAGCTATGAAGAAAAACAGAAGTCATGACTTTTGGTAAGTTTGATGTAAATACATGTTCCAGGTCCTGACGTTGGCTGCCAGTCCAATGTAGGAACCAGCTTTCTGTAGCTTATTTTCTAAGACACACATCACAAGTCAAAGCTCAGAAATGACCTCTCTTTAGTAACATTTCTGCTTTTGTTTATTGTTTCCCTTTCACTTACCAAATCTCACCAAACAGTTGGAACTGCATGCTAACTTCATTTTTTCCTCAAACAAACTCCAGCTACATTAAAGAGTTCGTACATGGAGACTTTGGGAGAACCAAGCCGAACATTGGCTCGCTGATGAATGTGACTGCAGACATTCTCGAGCTGGATGTTGAGGTAAACCTTTTATTGTGGAATGTACATTTGCAAATTGAATTCGGCCAAAGTTATGCTATTTTGCATTAAGCCAAATAGCACTACCTACCTTCATAGGTGTTTGAAAATGATCAAAATCTCACAGTAGCATTGTATTACAGGGAGGGACTGTCTTCAGTATTTTTAATTTTTTAATAAATTCAAGGTCTCATTTATGTTCCTTGCAAATATGTAGCTAATTTACTAACTGCACTTTATATTAATATATGGCATTAGATCTAAACCCTTGAACCAACCAAGGAAATAAAAGTTGTAAGTGCTCTTCGTATGTCCCCTCTGGATTCTAGAGAGTTTATTCCCATATCTGTTTTGTTTTATAAAGAATTTAAGGGCCGGGCGCGGTGGCTCACGCCTGTAATCCTAGCACTCTGGGAGGCCGAGGCGGGTGGATTGTTTGAGCTCAGGATTTCGAAACCAGCCTGAGCAAGAGCGAGACCCCGTCTCTACTAAAAATAGAAAGAAATTAATCGGACAACTAAAAATATACAGAAAAAATTAGCCGGGCATGGTGGTGCATGCCTGTAGTCCCAGCTACTTGGGAGGCTGAGGCAGAAGGATTGCTTCAGCCCAGGAGTTTGAGGTTGCTGTGAGCTAGGATGACACCACGGCACTCTAGCCCGGGCAACACAGTGAGACTCTGTCTCAAAAAAAAAAAAAAAAAAAAAGAATTTAAGAAACTCAGAAACATACATTCAGGACAAGGGTAGAAAATGGCATGAGCCAATGGTTATTAATAAAAGCAGTTCTAAGGGACCCTTATGATGTGGTCCAAGTTCTCTGTTCTTATAGTCTGAATTGAAATGAGGTTAAATTTTAAAATAATAAGAAAAATGGATTTTTCAGGCAATTCTCCATGAATATTTTGTTAGAACATCAGTAGGTGTTGAGTCACAAGTTGTGCTCCTTGATGAAAATGTGATTAGGAATAGAGTCCGTCCTCGCTCCATCCCCCCAGATTTTAGACTTAGGCTAGCATTTTGTACATGGGAATATTATCAAAGTTATAAAAAGAAATGGGTATAGTTGCCCAGTGTGAAAACAGCTATAGCAATCAAATGATCACTGAAGCATTATTACCTTACCAGCAATTCTCTCAAGCGCTCTTTTAGATTATATTTTATAGAGCTCCTGCAGTACGGCCAATGATAATGCCTTCGAGGTTGGAGGGAGCCTCTTCAGTAAGATTACCATTTTGAGGAAGACAATCCTCCGTTAAAGAAAAGCCCAACTGCATTCATCTTTTTTGACCTTAATTCTTAGAATAGCTTAGGAGTGTCAAAGAGTCACAGGCCAGTGTTTCTTAACCTTGATTGTCCACTGGAATCACCTTTGGAGCTTTTTAAACAATTTAACATGCCTGCCCTCAACACACACAAAATTATGATCAGTAATGTTTAATTTTCAGTTTGAAAAAACCACTCATTAACTTATATATGGGTGTTTGGTGTATGGCTCTATTCTGAAACAGAACCAAAATATCTTCTTGAGATTTGTAAGACGCACACACACATGTACACATGCAATTGTTATTTGCGCTTTTCTAATAAAATTTTTCTGAATCTAGTATGTGAAGTGACTCATGGATTGATGAAAAATTTTCAGTAAATAATTTCAGGTTTTAAAATTTAAATGTCAATAAAAACCACTGATAGAGTGAATTTAAAAAAAAACAACAAAAAAACTCTTAAAGTAGGTTCCCCATGTGACTGTTTATGTGGAGACAAAAAATAGTTTGTTTATTGTAATTTCATTATGACTCGAAGGTCAAGGTTTTGTTCTAGAAGAGCAAAATGAAGGTAAGTAGAAGTAGATGAACTGGATTTTAAAAGAAACAAAAATCCAGCTCAAATGAAATGCTAAGATCCTTAATCCTTTCCTAGTTCCAGGCGATCTTTCATATTTTATTTCACGTTTAGTTGCTAAGTTACAAACAAGACTGTAAGTTTATAGACTACTTGTTAAATGTCAGATAGGAGAATGAAAATGATCAGAAGAATAAAAGTTGCTCAGACTTCTAAGGGAAATTTAGTGTAGCCACCTGAATTTGCTACTTTACCTATAAATAACATTTTAAAAATTTACATTAACTCTATCTTATCAGCCAAAAGGCACACTTTAATAACCAGCTGAGAAACCAAATACTGCTGTTCAGTTAATTCAGATTATTTCAGACCCAAGAATCCCTAGAATGGATTTGAGTGTTAAATTGTGGTATTCAATAGCTCTTTTCTTCAAATGCAGTTTCTTCAGTTGCATTATATTAAAACTATTAAATTTATACAGCATTACCAGCAAATGCTTACCAGAACAGTGATACCTGTTTTACTGACTTGTTCTCTCCCTTCTAGTCTGTTGATGTTGACTGGCCACCTGCTCTGGATGACTAGCTTTCAAATCTGGAGGCAAAGAGCAGGGTTTTCCTGGCATGATGTGGATATCCATGGAGCACACACTGTAAAATGGCTGTTTACCCACCAAACGGTGTCTTGGAAACCATTTGGATCATGTTGATCTACATATTTTTAAAATTTGTTGTAACATCTCAGGATCTATGTATGTATATTTTGTGTTAAATTGTTCCAAGATGTTTTATGATTTTTCTCATTCCCTCTCTCACCCCCACAAACCAAACTATGGACAACAAAACCATTCTCCTTAATTCTTTCACTTAAGAGAGTTATACAAACAGAACACATTCTCTGTTAATTTGAGAAGCTGTAATTTCTTTCAGCAAGATTTCCCTCCACAAGAGACAGACCATCTTTAAAATCATGTTCTAAATTTTTTAAATTATCTGAATAAAAGTTATATCTAGATTTATACAGCATAATAGCTTATGATATTCTAAGATATCAATGCAAATCTGACATCATTAATATTTTTCCCAGTAAGCCTCAGGCAATCTATTACCAATAGAAGAACTTTTGGATGTGATTTGTGACAAATCTTAATGACCTCAAGTTACTATTTCAACAATCTAAAATCATTGATACATTTTTCCTGTGGAGGGAAAGTGAAATCTTAGGAATTGAGATATACCATGGTAAGAGACCACCATAAATCTTTTCAATAAGGATAAACAAGTGCCTTTAATACCTTCAATCCCAGGGTTAAGAATTTGAAAAATTGAGATTGCCAAAAAAGGTAAACTGATTATTTCAGAGTGCTTCAATATATTCAATTATAAGCATCTTAATACCTTATTAAGGTAGACAGGATATTATCTCGATTTTATAAATATGGAAACCAAAGAATAGAAGTTAAATGACTTACCTAAAATGACTTATCTTGTTAGTTACTTCCATATCTAGGACCAGAACTAGAGACCAAGTTTCTTGGTCTCTGGGGTCTTTCTAATAAGCCGTATCGTTGAGCACCAGTTGTATGAAGGAGACACGTAAGGTTTTCCATTTTAACTCACATAACCATGAGAATTGACTTTTGGAATTTAGACACCAAATCATGTAGCTTACCAAAAAATAGCCAAAATATATTTCATACAATCTCATATAATTAACCTTTGTTAATCATCAGTTGGTATTGTGAAGAGGAAAAATATTAAATAAGCTAAACCTAAAGAAAATGATGGGTCATTAGGAGAAAAGTTTCAGAAAGGAGCCTCATTAAAATTTCAGATTTAAAGTATAATTTCCATCACCCTAATTCAACTATTTGAGCTTTTTTAAGAATATATGTGGCTTGGATAGTATTGGATTACTCACTGTTTTCCATCTCTATATTAAACATAGTTCACAGATATTAAGATTCACTTTAGATATGAGGAAAATGGTTTTAATTGACATGAATTAGCCAACCACTTTGAAACCATGTGTTTCATATGTGAATAACAGCAAATAATCTTTTCACTGCTTTGAATGCCAGAAAATAAGAAAGGGATAACAGAAATAAACTTTTGATAAAAAGGTAAGAACTTCTGTGTGAATGTTTTTCAGTTTCTGGGGAAATTTTGCTACAAAAGAGATTTAAATAATTTAGGAGACAATTTTGCATGTTTCTTTTGGCTCAGCTTTGAATCCAATGGATCTGCAATATGGAAGAATCAAGAACCCCTCCTTTCAAACTTAAATTAGAAGACTTCTGTTTCTTAAATTTCTATTCCTGAAGTTATGTAAAATGTCAAGCAAAGAGCAAATATTAGCTGTAAATACTTATTCCAAATATTCATGTAATTTTGAGACACAGGTTGTTAAAAATTAAAGTAGGTCTTTGTTTTAGGCAGAACTGGGAACATCAATTAATGAGAGTACTATAGTTTCCCTTTTGCCTATATAAACATCTTTTAGTTTCATGATTTCCTTTTTTAAGCTTTGTTTAAATTAGAAGTCTTTTTCATAACACTTAGAGAAAGAGCCCTTTGTACTTCTTAGTATCTCTTTGTCCCAAATATAGTCTGTGGTTTATGTGAAGAAAAACATCAACTCTGAATACCTGGAAAAGTCAAGAAAAAAACTTTGGTAAAATGAGAAATTTCCAAGTAAGATAACTGGTTACATTTGTAAGTTATGTGAAGTAAATTTAGAAGTCAAATTTCCATTTTGTAAGAGGAAAACATCTTACTATGGCAGATCTTTTCTTTTGGAGCTTTATTCTTTGATTTTTAAGTCCACATAAGAGAATGAACTTTGATATAAGATTTTCTGCATTTTAAAAAATGGTACCCTTTTTTATTATGAAAAAATATCACTGTTATGATTCTATTTTTAGTTTTTTTCATTTTGAAATAATTTCAAACTTACAGGAAAGTTGCAAGAAAAGTACAAAGAACCTTTTTCCCTGAACTATTCAGCCAATGATGCCTCATCATCCCAAAGACATTAGTGTATAATTCCTACAAACAAGGAAATTCTTTAAAAAAAAAAAAAAAAAGACATTCTTCTAAAGACAATATAACTATCAAAATCACAAAATTAACACTGACATATTATAATTATCTAATCTATGGACCCCAACCAGGTTCACTAGTTGTACCACCAATGTCCTTCATAGTCAAATATTCACACTTTGCATTTAGTTGTTTCTTTAGCCTCCCCCAATCTGGAAGAGTTTTTCTGTCTTTGACTTCCCTTACTTTAACTTTTCTTTCTTTT